CCAGTCTGTGGTAGACACTGAGACGCATTGGAAAGATCTGTTCTCTGTCGTTGATCTCAACAGAATTCTCGATGTCATAAAAGGCCATTTGCCTTTATAATATATTGAAGATAGCATTACTTTTAATTGTTGTCATCTTTTATTTTTTTAATTTTATCTCAAACTTTTAACATTTAAAATCTGATCATTGACCTAAGCCAATCCGTGCTGTGAACTGTTGTGAATGCAACCAACTTGTGTTTCGCTCGCTCATATGACCTTATACATGTGCCGTAATACTCTTACTAAACTTAACTAGATCTACAGGTGTACGTAAGATTAAAAAACACATTTCTGCAGTAAATTGCACTCTCAACCAGAAGTAGATAGGCCGGAGGAGTCAAGGACTTCGGTATGACCAGGACCAGAGGGAGGTGAGGGATAGAAATAGCCTGGTGTTGTAAGGGTTAAACAAAAGTTGCCACAGGTGACAGAAGGCCTACCGAGTTTTGCACTTGATTTCAGGCTGCCTCCAGCCATCTCTGGCTCTGGACAACTTGATATTTTGAGATGCAATTAAAAAATGGCTTGTCGTTACCTCTTAAAATAATTTACACAGTTAAGTACTAGCACGAGTACTATGGAAACATTGAATACAAGAAAAAATTCCCATACATAAATGGGATCCAAGGAACGTCCGGCTAAACAAGGCTAGAATCTACAGGAGATGAATGAAATGTATCCAAGGTGAAACTCTTGAAAGTACAAAAAAATATAGACAATATGTACATTTATTATAAATAAACACTCTACACATAGAATGAAGGGGGCAACATGTTAGAAGTGTGTGGAATTCTTTGATCGCAGCTATTTGTCAACCAATCAACCTTAACTATAAATAACTACATCCGTCAATCAACTGCTCACTCAACAAATCAGCTTTGAGTTGACCATGCATACGAACATCATGAGGCAACAAACTACTCAACCAATCAATTTTGACATAACAGAATCATCCGTCAACCACTCAATTAATCAACCTAAACAACAACAGATATTCAACTTCCCAACCAATCAACTTTGACCCTAACAACAGCATCATCGGTCAACTTCTGCTCAACCAATCAACCTAAACAACATCAGATATTCAACGACCCAGCCAATCAGCTTTGAACATTATTGCATCAGCCATCAAGTGCTCAACCAATCAACAGTAAGCACATCACCATCAACCAATTAACAGCAATCACAGCTTCACCAACCAATCAACTGCAGGGACATCTTGAGTGAAGTCCCCCTGTAATCAACCAATGGCGTCCACGTCTGTCTGAGCTCCCCTCAGGTTTCCCCAGGCATTCCTTGGCCCAGGACACACAGGTGTCCGTCCAAGTGACCGCTCAGGGTCAGCAGACAGCATCAGACACCCCTTGGCTGCTATACGATCTGTAAATATAGAAAACATTGAAATAAATTTGCAGACCCTGGCAAAAGTCTGCTTTTCTTTTAAAACTGTAGATCTAGATCAAGGCCTAAATAAAATATACAAAAACAATTTTTAGACATCAGGGATGATTAATACACCCAAAATAACTTGTGTGCACGTTTAAATCAGTGCTTACATCTGGAAATCGGAGAAGAACAAAACAAAACAAACAAAAAAATTAAGAAAGTTTATTCGGAGTTGAGAGTTGTGTGCCTTCTTGTTGAATACACAATAGACTAATTGACAAGGTGTAACTTCCTCTATTTATCATTCTACTAGACTAGATGTCTCGTTGTATGAGTCCCAAACTCCCACTAGGCTGTGCATAGGAAAATTGATGGGAAAAGAACCAGGGGACGACCAAAGATGAACTGGAAACAGACTGCAAATAGCGAAAGATCTGAAACTAATAGACAAGAAATAGGCTTAAAGTGATGTCCAGGACTTAACTGTGGACAGATCATCCTGGTCACCTCCTTCGTTTGCCTCATGGGTCTCAAGAGTTTGATTGAGGTCGGGGGGGGGGGGGGGGTGTAACTAGGGGCAACAATCGAAATTTGCAAAACGCCCTATCATTGTGAGGAGAAAAGTGTACAATTGATAATAATTATAATAATAGAAAATAAAAACAACCTACAAGGGGGAAATGATCACACTGGTGGCCGTTGGAGTTAGATAGGACAGGTTCCACTGTATTTAAAAAATCACTTTCAACATCCACCTATTTCTGTTCATTTCTCTGCTCTAGTTCACCCGTCACACCTGTATGTCACACTCACACTCACCACAGCCGTGCAGGCAGCACGAGATCATCAAGCTTTGACCGGTTTGTCCACACCCCCGGACTGTTTCCCTCTCCTCCGCGCGAAGTGCAGGAAGCAGTTCCCCACGACCATCAGGCAGCCAGCCACCACCATGAGGCCACCTCCGAGGTAAAACGCTTCGTCAAAGCTGCCGAACATATCACGGAACGCGCCTGGGGGAAAGACAGAAGAGAGAAATAAAAAAATAAAAAAATAAAAAACCAACCTTGAACATGCAACAACAATATATAATATGGTCGTTTTTAAGGACAAGTGAGTTAACGTAGATTTCAGGAGTTTCCAGAAATCTTGACCTAAATCAAAAGTGAGCCTTGCCTTACCTATACGAGAAGTTTAGCTTCATTGGTGTGTGTATTCGTTTGGTTATTCGGTTATAGAGGAAACTCCCCTTGTTTTTTTTAAAGAAGCTGAACAAGGGTCCGAAAACTTTACCTTCGATTTTCTCAAAACAGATTTTTTCGAGATAGCCCCATTGTACTTAAACGCGACCATATCAAAAGTCGGAGGTTGGTGAGTGCTCTGGTGTGGTTTTCTCCTTCTTTAAAAAAAATCAAAACATCTATCGTCCTGAGTCCTGATCTCTCCTCCTTTTCCCTATTTATTACTGTTTTGTACTGTCTTGTAGTAACACCTCTAATTTTCAGCACTTATTTGATCTAATCTAATTGTATTGTAAGTGCTGTAAGACTCTTACTAAAACTAAAAACTTAAAATTAAAGACACGTAATTTTTTAAAGGGCGTCGCTATCTATTACAACAAGTTGTGACGTTTGTGATCATTACAAGTTGGGACGTTTGCGATCACTACAACAAGTTGTGACGTTTGTGATCACCACAAGTTGTGACGTTTGCGATCACTACAACAAGTTGTGACGTTTGTGAGCATTACAAGTTGTGACGTGTGTGATCACCACAAGTTGTGACGTTTGCGATCACTACAACAAGTTGTGACGTTTGTGATCACTACAACAAGTTGTGACGTTTGTGATCACTACAACAAGTTGTGACGTTTGTGATTACGACAACAAGTTGTGACGTTTGTGATTACGACAACAAGTTGTGACGTTTGTGATTACGACAACACGTTGTGACGTTTGTAATCACTACAACAAGTTGTGACGTTTGTGATCACTACAAGTACAAGTTGTGACGTTTGTGATCACTACAACAAGTTGTGACGTTGTGATCACTACAACAAGTTGTGACGTTTGTGATCACTACAAGTACAAGTTGTGACGTTTGCGATCACTACAAGTACAAGTTGTGACGTTTGTGATCACTACACGTTGTGACGTTTGTGATCATTACAAGTACAAGTTGTGACGTTTGTGATCACTACAATAAGTTGTGACGTTTGTGATCACTACAACAAGCTGTGACGTTTGTGATCATTACAACAAGCTGTGACGTTTGCGATCACTGCAACAAGTTGTGACGTTTGTGATCACTACAACACGTTGTGACGTTTGTGATTACAACAACAAGTTGTGACGTTTGTGATTACAAGAACAAGTTGTGACGTTTGTAGCTATGACGTGCGTGATCATTACAAGTTGTGATGTTTGTGATCTCCACAAGTTATGACGTTTGTGATCATTACTAGTACACGTCGTTTGCTGTTGTTTCTTTGACCCTAATCTCTTTACCATTGCAGTTGTAGCCACCTTTTGGCAGCCGTTTGCAAGGTCTGTGACCTGAAAATGGAGAGCTTTTAAATTTTGGTTCATCTGCAGGGATGTTTCATCCCTCTCAGCCCCGTTTGACCCTGACATGACAGGCAGGGTCGGAAACCCGCCTCCTAAATGATCCACATTGTGTGGTCTGGGGAGTTAAAATGCCAACATTAAAACTAAATACTTTATATTATTCAAAACCTTTACTATTAACCTACTTTCCACCAGCTGACTCATGTAATGGGCATAATAGCACTGACTCATTTCCTGTCATTCAAAATGGTCGAATGTCAAAATTTCAGGTGGGGGGGGGGGGGGGGGGGGTAAAATAAAGTAGGCCCATGTTCTAAAGTTTGATGAAGCGCATCGACTCGTTCCTAAGTCTCATTCCTTTTTTTACTACATAATAGCGTAAATAATAATAATAATAATAATAATAATAATAATAATAATAATAATAATAATAATAATAATAATAATAATAATAATAATAATAATAATAATAATAATAATAATAATAACAACAACAATATAATAATAATAATAATAATAATAATAATAATAATAATAATAATAATAATAATAATAATAATAATCCTCTCCACAGCAAGGTCTGTGCACTTTAAAATCAGCCTTATTACCGCAGCAAACCATATCAGCTTATAACACTCAGAAATAATCTCGGCTTCCCGGGAAGCAGGCACTGCAGCAAGCAGATAATTAAGCGCCCAAACACCAACAAACTGACGAGATCTGTCCCTGTCTGTAGCCGGGTACATGTACCCATTCTCTCCTCGATGAAGTGAGGAACATTTGTGTAAAGTAAAGGGTCTTTGCCTTGGACAAAAATGTAATGTTGGGCCTCTAGATCTATTGAAAGGAAGAACGTTTTTTCTTTCTCTCTTCTATAAAAAAAAAACTATTAATGTTTTTAAGTTCCAATCTAGGCTAAGTCTGAAAATCTTGACAACATGTTGCTTTTACTAGAGGTGCGCTATTGTGAACAGGAAATGTAAACTCAAACTGATGTCTGACAGCTGGGGGCAGATAACTAATGAGTTATAATAAGCATAACAATAAACTACATTAATTATATAGCGCATTTTTCACTAGAAAAATAACATTTACTCTCGTACCCAGGCCCTCAAAAACATTTTAAACTCGTTTTATACGTTCTGGTTGATAGCTATACATTAATTAGTAGTAGTAGGTTCTGGCTTTAACTTTAAGTAATTTTGTATTTAAAAAAAAGTTATGACGCTCATTTTTGTCCCCACCAATTTTTTAAAGCAGAAAGTCATTAAAACCCCTTTTACATTTCTCTTGTTCTGCGACTCATTTTTTGTGTGCTCCTATACAATTTCATAACTTTTCGCGTATTTATAAAAATAATACTACCATCTCTCTCTCTCTCTCTCTCTCTCTCTCTCTCTCTCTCTCTCTCTCTCTCTTTCTCTCTCTCCCTCTCTCTCTCTCTCTCTCTCTCTCTCTCTCTCTCTCTGTGTGCCAATCTGTCAGAGTGCCCCCTGCCCCCCCCCTCAACCCCCTCCACTCCGAACAGAACTGTGTGTGCCAGTAAAAACCATAGATCTCATTCAGAACTGCCAAACTTCATTTACTCTAAAAGATCTCTATTTCGGAAGGATTATCAAAGTGAGGAGAAGCAAAACGTGTCGCCCGAGTACAACAACTCTGTATCCCACAAAACCAAAATTTTACAGGAGAAGGAAAAAACTCTGTCAATTCATCAAACAATGGTTGCTAAAATAAAAAGTCGGAATGTTGCACTGGTGATGTTTATTCAGCTAGCTGTCAGTCACAAAATTTGACACAAAATCCGCAACGTTACATCTAGTAGAAAATAGGGGGGGGGGGGGGGGGGGAGGTGTTTTTATATAGTGTGAGTTACAGGGTTGTTGCACTCAGGCAACGAAAGAGTTTCTCTTGTTTGGTGTATCGCCTGTGGCATGATGATGCCGTTGTGTCTTGTATTTCTCTGGCCACATTTGTCCTTTTTTTCCTGGGCCTGACTCTTCGTTTAACTGTTACTACGATTCTGACTCTTCGTTTAACTGTTACTACGATTCTGACTCTTCGTTTAACTGTTACTACGATTCTGACTCTTCGTTTAACTGTTACTACGATTACTGCGATTCTGACTCTTCCGTCTTCGTCGGACTATATGTATTACGATTCTGATTTTGAAAAAAATCCCATTTGAACTAGTGTTAACCAGTTTCTGTCGTTTTGGCTAATAGAGAAAGACACTTTCTTCACAATATCTTGATTATCGGTATGTTTCCTGTTGACACAGTAACCATTTTTGCCTGTGGCATGCACCGTCTTTATGTAAGATTCAGTATGAGTTTTACAGAACTTGAAACACAATTAGGACTGTTAAGTGCCGAAAATTAGATGTATTACAAGAGAATAAAACACACCCAAAAAAAGAAGGAAGAGGGATAAGGACGATATATGTTTGATTGGAAAGAAGGAGCAAACAACAGCAGAGCACCCACCCACCCACCCACCACCGACCTATGATACATGTATAAATTATACTTTTTACTTTTCCGATCCAGAGGCCATCTGAGTTCTTGCCCTTCGGCCTGATGACAATTACTATGACAATGCCAATATTTATTCATATCGCAGGCAGAATGTATAATATTATTTCTCATACTTTAAGCACACGGATTTCTTTACCTGACAGAGGAGGGCCCACGCAGGTACCGATGCCCTGAAACAAGAGTAGGATCCCGAAGGAACTGGACATATGCTCCTTCCCCAGGATGTCTACGATGATGACAGCCTTCTGGGATATGAACGCTCCTGTTACGATGCCGTAGAAGCCACAAATGGCGACAAACGCCACAAACGACGAGAAGAACGGGAGCGCGAAGGAAATCAAGGCGATGGCAAATATCAGGGAGTTGTAGATCATAGGTCGCCAAGGTCTGAGATAGCGAGAGTCGAGGATCAGCCCCGTCGCGATCCGAGACAAGGTGTCAAAGACTCCGGCAATTGACAAGATCAGTGTGGCGTCCGTAGCCGACAAACCTTTGGATTTCACCAACGCTGGGATGAACGTAAACGCTGCTCTGAGCGCCGCGGTGAACAAACAAATACTCAAGCAAAAACACAAGAAAGACGAGTTTTTCAGCAGGTAAAAGTGGAACAATTTCTTCCCAGCTGTCCCTCTCCCCTGCTTGTTTTCCACTGGGAAACAAGTTGTCAAAAACGATTTGAGGCATCCTAGTTTCTGGCGCTGGCGTTTTTTGTCAGGCTGAGAATAATTTATCGGTGAGCTTGTCAGTTTTTCACTGAAGCCGTCTTGCTCTGCTGATACTGATGAGGTTTTCCCGCTCGGCGAGGACTGCTGAGTGTCGTCTGTCGTGTCGTTTTCTTGAGAACATTGACCTTTGCCTTGGCGGGATTCTGACAGCAACACGCCACCATCCTCTGCTCTTGCTGCTGTTTCGGACGTCATTCTGGAAAAAAAAAAGAATACCAAAAGTATGTGTGTGTGTGTGTGTGTGTGTGTGTGTGTGTGTGTGTGTGTGTGTGTGTGTGTGTGTGTGTGTGTGTGTGTGTGTGTGTGTGCGTGTATATATTTATATATATATATATATATATATATATATATATATATATATATATATATATATATACATACGTAGTCTATCTCTGTCTAAGACAAGCATTCTCCTCGACAAAGGGCGGACAATTATTATTTTGACTGTACTTTTTACGGGAGAAGGAAACTTTTGATTTCTCCAAAATATTAGCAGGACATAAAGGCTGTAACCACAGAAATGTTTAGCGGATTTTTAATAGTATCTGTTGTTTTAGTAAGAGTTTTACCGCACTTGCAACATAATACGGTCATATAGTGCCGAAGATTAGAGGCGTTACAAGAGGGTAACAAATACAAGAAGAAAAGAGGAGAGTGCAATTAGGACGACATAATTATGTTTGATAGGATAGAAGGAGCAAACCACACTAGAGCAACTGCCAAGGACCCACATAGTCTGACCTCTGACAAAAGGGATATAAATAGACATAGGGTAAAAAACAGGGATTTCCTTGCTGTTTGAGACATCCTATCGTTAAAGTGCTACCTTTTTGGCCTCGGCTAGAAGTGAAACTGACGAAGCACAGGACACCTGTGTATTGCTCTTTAGAGTGCCGTATGTATCTATGTATATATAACCCCAAAGGTCTTGTAATTAAATTCCTGCCTGTGGTTGAATGATGCATCTGATGTGATATGTACATTTTGTCAGCTTTACTCCACTTTTCATATTGAATTTTAATTAGAGTAATAGATCTATATAATTTAATAAAAAAAAAAAAATGTATACCTGCGTGTGTTTTTACGGTCTTGTACAGCCAAGAAAAATTTCCCTCTGGGATGATAAAGTATTACCTTATCTTATCTTATCTTATCTTCATACAATGTCAGTGGTGGATCAATTTCATTTTGTCCTTAGTCTGACTTACGTCCAAGAAGGTAGCACAAAAAGGACATTTTTATCCGGAGCTGACTGGTTTGTCCTGGAGCCCACCGGTCTGTCGCCGTGGTTTTATGCACCGTGCATAATTTAGCAAAATTAGATGATTTTTTGGGCATAATTTCGGATTATTTTCCTTTATCATTCGGTGTTGAAATTAACAGAATGGCATAATATCACATTTTGGGGCTCAATTTGCATAATTTCAGAATTTTTCTTGCTTAAAACGACGAGTACAGACAGGTAAACCATGACGTACCTGGCAAACGCCCGGGCAAACTTGCGGTGCAGACTCAGGGGCCGCAACAACATGGCCACCACAAAGCTGTTCGTCACTATGGCGGTTAGGATCAGGAAGGCTCCCTGTGACGTCACAGATACACAAATTGTGTCAGGCTTCATAGTGAAATCAAGCATTCGTCAAAATAACGAAATCGAAGAAACCGATATTTTTCTCTTCGTTTGACAATTTTTATCGATTTGTGAGGCACTGTGGTGGAATCAGGCTCTCGTCAAAATAATCCAGGAGAAGAAACTTGCATTTTTCCGCAGGTTTGTGAATTTTTATCAAATTTTTTTTTTTTTTTGCTCAACACCTTTCATGCCCATTCAAGAACTCATTTCTGTGAGGATTTTTCTGAAAAGCGTTGATTAAAGGCACAACAATGTAAATTTTCAGTTACCACGGACTCTTAAGCTTATGAAATAACTAATCTTTGGCGGCTATTTTCTCACAAATTTTACCTCTGAAAAACAGGTGATCCCCATCCCTTTCTTTCGCAAATATCTTGACTTGTATCCTATATAAATGGATGTTTTTTCATCTAAATAAAAGACAAGTGAACAAGCTCCAAGAGGATACCAATAACTCTAAATGCCCCAAAATTGACGAGAGCCTGATTCCACTACGCTGCCTCACATTTTTTTGTTGGTTTGTTATGGGCTCAACATCTATTATGTTAATTACTGCTTGGATTCTACTGGAAAAAACGTTGGTCAAGGGTATAAAAAATGGAAATTTTCAGTTGCATAGTACGCTATAGCTTTGGAAGACACCCAACTTTGGCGGCCTAATGTATCATTGTTTTTACCGCTGACACTAGGCGATCCTCACCTCCTTCAACTTTTGTTCAAGATAGATGGGTATTTTTCATCAAAAGCAAGACAAATATCTATCTATCTATCTATCTA